CAGTACTATAGACCTACTGAAAGGATGGGTAAGCTAGCTCTTTCAAGCTGTACTAAACTTACATTTTTAGGGCAAGTACATTACAGAAGAGTATGGTAACAAAAACAAAACATATCATCTTGATTTTTTCCTACAGGATTCTCTAGACAATTTGTCCTCCCTCTTACAGCCTAGTTTAAAAAAAGTCTATAAAACTGATATAATCTCTTTATCAGTCATACTATTTTGCTCTAGATGTTTGCCTTGTATTGTTCTTCAGTGACCTTATATTTTAAAAGTTAAGCAGAATGAAAATAGTTAAAGAACTCTTCCCAAGTGTGATCTCTAGTTGCTCCAAAGTAATTGCATTAGGGACAGCATTAAGACCAGACAGTTCTTCCAGTAGATAGAAATACAGCTCATTTGTTTCAGTATCTGGCATAAAAATTCACACACACACACACACATTCAGATCAACTTTACAAACTCTAGCCAACACAGCGATGTCAGTCAGTAGTGCAAAGAGGTATTATCCTTAATTAATATGGTACAACTTATTTCATTCAGGGCAGGCATATATAACATAACTTATACTGGCAAAAGCACAGAAGCTGTATCCTTGTCAAAAGCAAACTGCTGGGACAGTATGCCTGCAAAGAGCTTCTTGTATATACCAGGCTTGATAGGCATGCTTTACTTCTGAAGTTTTTCCTTGCTTTTAATCCCTAGAGTCAAAAGCTACAGCCAGGGCTGGTGTATTGCTGTACCTCCATGGAACTGCACTGATGTTACTGGAGTTCCAGGCAAACACAGAAGTCCAAATGCATCCTATCAACTGGAGGACTGGGGTCATGGTGACCATATTTAAGGTACCCAAATTCTTATTTTTAGAGGTGCCAAGCACCTGAACTGGTGCTAGAGTGTTTACTACTTTGAAAAAAATCAGGCCAGATCCTTAGGTGCCTTATATTAATGGAGTAATCTAACAGTTGTTACTCCAATTTAGAAGTGTTGGGCTCTGTTTTTTTTTCCTTTGGAAAGAGGAGAAAGAAACCATTACCAATGGCACAAAGTGTATAACATGCTTCAGGATTTAAACACCAAACTACCTTTGACTGAGTCAGCAAGGGCTTTTTGTTATTTATATTTCAATCAGTAAAGCATATCTTTACAAACTTAGTTTGTATATTGCTCCAAATGGAGGCAAGCATTACTGTACTTAAGTGCATCTGTTTTATTTCATTGTGTCAGTTAATGGTGCTTATCACGAACAGAGGGCTGTAAAGCAATATTCCATAATGTACTTCCAACTTGCAGGACAAAGACAAATACAGCACAGGTATTTTGCTTTCAGAAAGGGGTGGGGGGGAAGCACTACAGAAAATTTTGCTAAATGGAACAGAGTTTAATCAAATCATGCACGATCTCAATTTGCTTTAGAAGAAAATAAACTCTTACTATAGAGTACAAACTACTGATTCAGATTTTTTAATTACAATGTAGTATATTTCACTGCATGCTGTCCTCATGTTTCCTACAGCACACTTTGGCTAGGGACAGACATTACACATAAATTGGTTTAAGTGATCAGAAACTGGTTTAAACCTGTAACAGAACAGATGTTCAATGCACATACACCAATCTGAAAATGGCTGAAACTGGTTTAAGATAAATCTGGTTAAACATAGCATCAGATTTAACTGATTTGGGTCAAACTGGTTTATGCAATGTCTGTCCCAGACCCCTTCCTGGTTTAAGCTAAATCAGACTCCCCCAGCATCCTGGCATGCGCTCTGGGCTGGACAGGGCTCTCTGCTCCACAGCAAGGCTGGCCCCTCCCCCATTATCCCTGGCTGCAACTCTGGCAAGACTGCAGGCTTCCCCCTCCTCTCTCCATCACCACTCCCTGCTAAGCAGGAATTCCCCCCTCCCCTCTGCCTTGTGGAGAGGTGTCTGTATATTAGCTAGCAGACCACATGCTGGCTACAGTCCCTGAATCAACAGGTAACTGGTAATCTCCCTCTGTTGTTTTCTTAATGGGGTAATAAACACCGTGTTAGAGGGTGATAAACACTTATCAATTCCCTGCTGGGCTAATAATAGCATCCTGCCTGGGCCTGGCCATACCCCCCTCAGCTCAGTACTGTGCAAGGGAAGGGAGGGATGCTCTAGCGCATCCCAGCTTATAGCCTAAGCCACTGCAGGCATGTGCTGGCATTTCTGGGATGTCTCACAGTTACAAAGTGATCCAGCCTAGCCAAGTTAGCCTAGCCAGTCTCAGGCTTTTTGAACGTCTGTCCCTAGCCTTCATAATTTAATCATTGTACACTGCATGTAAATGTTAAGTTAATTATGTGAGATTGTGACTTGGACACTTGAAGTGAAACGTGAAACTCTAGCAGGCAAGCAGATGTGGCCAGAGGCATTTTGGTGGCTAGAATATAGGCAGGAAGAAAGGCTGTACAGGAAAAGCATGGGGAAAATTATTAATGACCTTTACTTCATTCCTCCAACATCTAATACTGGTAGTCAACAGACTACTGCCAAGAGATAGGACATGGAGTCCTGTAGGGCCCATAAAGATTTGCTGGTAATCCTAGCTAATCCATAGCTGTGGTCAACGGAGCAGTAGGTTTATTATTTGAATAAAATCAGCCCTCAAACACAGCAGAGCTACAAAACCATCTCCTTAAATTCCTTCACAAAACACACATTTCTTCCCAAAGGTTTTCACCAATGCCTTGGACAAGTTTTCTGCTTCATGACTTTAAGGTTGTTCCTTCATCCACAAAGTGTGCATTAATTATTTTGCTTGCATGTAAATTAGCATGCAAACTCCAGCAGCCTGGGGCTATTTCCTTAAACATGGGAAGTGCCACACAATGCCCACTGCTTGTTACTTATGCCTTCTAGAAGCTTCTGAATCAGCAAAAATGCCTCGAACATACATTTTGACAGTCCACATAAGATATTGCAAGCAACCCCCAATCATAAACCTGAACACTTAAATTGGTATGTCGAGTGAGGGTAATAAGGGAACTTAAAATCCAGTGACTCCAATGGAAGTACTTTCCTGAATCCTGATCTTAGGCCCCAAAACAAATACCCAGATTTCCAGAAATAAATTAAAAATCTCTGATTAATTAAGCCATACAGGCAGTCCTCGACTTACAATGTTTCGCACTTGCAGCATTTATAAATTTATACCCTGTTTCAACTTTTTGATGTCAGTTTCGACTTTACAATGCTTGATCCGATGCAATACCATACCAGCGAACAAGTTTGCTGCGTTGCTCGTTTCCCTGGAGAACATCTGTCCAAACTTCCTTGGACACTTTCTTTAAGAAAGCAGACAAGCCTCCAGAAAGCCCTGCAGCCAAGACTCCAGAGAAGATTCCAGCCAAGAGCCTTTCAAAAAGTCCAGCAAAGTCACCTCAAAGAAATCGTTCCAAATCAATATCATTGCTATTTACAATATATATACATTAATGTAGCTATGTTACTCATCTATATTTGATTGAGTACAAAATTCTGGGGTATTTTTAGTGAAAATAGGGTATCGGGCCTTGGTTCAGGAACCAACCCATTTGTAACATCGTTTCTTATAAGCAAATTGGTTCCGAGTTACAACGTTTTGACTTAAGACGCAGTTTTCAGGAATCAATTGTGTTGTAAGTCTGAGGACTGCCTGTACTAGGGTTTGGTATTTGACCAGGCAAATAAAGTTTGGTCAATTGACCAGTCAATCATCAGTCAAAAATTGTAAAAAATTTCCAATAGGTGCAAACAACACAGAAAAAGCATAATTTTTCCATTAGGATGTGTGTTAAAAACAATTAAAAATCATATTTCTGTCAAGAAAAATCACCAAAAAACGTAGTTTTTTTAAAATTGCTATAATCTCTGACAGGTCAAAAATGCAGTCAATTGACCAGTCAAATGACAATGTTTGACCATTCAATTGATCAACTTGCCATACCTTTGAATAGCTAAAGATGGGTTAAGGCATCTCTAAGTCAGTGATTCTCAACCACTGTGTTGTAGGATTTTTGATGTGGAAACACTTATGCTATTCACAAGATAAACCCAGAGATATCAAATAGGAATCAGTGCCAAAAAGATTTCTGACCTGTTGTAGTCTTCATGAGTTGTTTAAAGCAGAAGAATTCCTCCATTATTTTTCTCTGGTCAAGAAGTGAGTGAAAGCTAGGAGCTGGCATTTTCCAAAAGGTGCCTCAAGTCTAAAAAGCTTGAGAATCACTGTTTTAAATAATCAAGTCTGAAAACGTTAGACCTAGCCTGTAAATAGCCTGGGCCCACTATTTCGTGTATAGCACAAAGCACACTGTGGCACCTTACTAAATCAATAACAATAATGGGACATGCCCCAGAAGACTTCTATGAGAATGAAGTTGGGCTTCATTTTTTGATTCTGGTCCAACTATTCTAAACTTTAAAACAAAAGCAAACTTGTGATTGATATTTTTAATTTCTAGGCCTGTTTCTAATAGTAGAAGATCATCTTTAATTTGTTTCTAATTACATGTTTATTTTATAAATAACACTCCTACCAGAAGTGTTAGAAACAGAACCAAATTTTGATAGTACAGAAACCAAAATATTTGATAAACTCTGATAACAGATTTACAAAACCACTGTAGGTACAGAGGTGACCTGCTGTATGAATTTATACTACTGTTAAAAAGCACACCCCAGAAGATATTTTTTCTATCTATAGTAATTAGATAAAGAAATCAATGAAAAATGGTTTAAATACAAATTGGAGGAGAGCAGTTTACATAAAAACCTCATGCATTTAATTACAAGGTAAGGTTCTGGCACTGAGCATAGTTGAGCTCCAATTCTTACAAGAAAAATAAACAAAAAGAACAGTGTCAGGAAAACAGAAGGAAAGACTCTGCATTATCTGTACTCAGAGACATGACTGCATTTTCAGAACAATGATTCTGTCAAAGGAATAAAGGAATTTAGTCCTAGTATTAAAATAAGTAGAACAATACCTGGCAGGAGCTGTGGGATAAATGACTTTTATATGTTGGAAAGCCAGATCCTGACTCAAAACTTGCTTTATCCATGCTCTTACTCCTTGGCCTGTATCACCTGTGCAAGATATAAACATAAAATAAGTGACATTTTATGTATTTATATAGGGTGCCATACAACGTCAAAAATACTGATGTTAGAAATTCACAGCAATTACAAACCACAGAATCAATCCTGCCAGTTAGTGATTAACTTCTGGAAATACTCAGCACCTTCACTTCCCCTTTTACATAAGGAGATACTCAATACCTTCCAGGATCGTATTCTTAAAGGGGCTATCTAGTAACACTTTCAACTGCCACCGACTTCTCACATGGCCCCCAAAACCTTGCACCAATTATAAAGTAGACGATTAGCCATTGATAATAGCATGACAGACTGAACATCTACTGTAAATGTGTTCTTTCCCCCCACAGTGGAAAAAACCCGAAACAAACTAAAATCCTGCATTGTCTTTGAAAATTGGATTTTTTTTTCACAGAATCATTAAGATTCATAAACAAGACTGAACTGTCCACATTTCATAAGGTTGGAAGGGACCTCAGGAGGTCATCCAGTCTAACCCCCTTGCTCAAAGCCTGACCATTCCCAGCTAGATCATCCTAGCCAAGGCTTTGTCTAGCCGGGTCTTAAAAACCTCCAAGGATGCAGATTCTCCAACCTGTCTGGGTAATCAATTCCACTGTTTTACTACCCTTGTAGTGAGAAGGTTTTTTCAAATACATAACCTAAACTTCCCCTGCTGGAACTTGAGACCATTGCTCCTTGTTCTATTATCTCCCTTTTTAATTACATTAACATACCTCCAAATTTACTTGAGATTCATAAAAAAACTCACGCCAATTCATTAGTTGTTAAGAACAGGAACAGGTTTCAGCCAAACATCAGATCCAAACACCCTTGAATTTCTAACAAGCCGGACATCAAATTGTGTATAGATCCAAGCATTAATACCTATAGTTATCACAGAGTGTTCAAAATCCTGAATCCCACAGTCCAATGCATAAGAACTGACTAAGATGTGGATCAGAAATCTACATCCAATAGCAACCTGCAGCTGGATTCATGTGATCCTGTGTGTGCACACTTTACAAACATGAGCTCGCATCCCTTTCTGAGCTTCTCTTCACTGTACTCAAAGTATAACTTAACTGCTAACCACGCACAAAAATCTCCAGGTCATATTAAGTGGTTCTTTAAACTTGTGCTCAACTTAGATTTGAGTGTGAGTTATGCTCAAACTGGTAATGCAGCAGGGGCTACAGTTAACTCATCTACTGCTAATCCAATCACTCTATAGAGCTCTGGTGCTGTTTTAATCCCAGCTTCTTCCAGATGCTTGAACTTGAACTGCCAGCCCAAGTTAATACCCAAGCTACCTTGTCTTTATTGCTCTTTTAGCCTTGGCTAGCCAACCTGAGTTAAAAATGCAAACACACCTAGAATGTATCACTGTCACTCAAGCTAGCCTAAAATGAATGCAGTCACTTGCACATACCAACCCAAGATAACTGCTGCAGTGAATACAAGCTCTTAGAAAAGGTTTTCTATTGCTTTAGTTGCCAAAGGAAATCCTGAAATATTATTTACAAAATAAAATGCATACAAGTCCAAGCTACAAATACTTTCTCATATGCTTTGCTTACATGAGTAGCTTTACTGGAATCAGCAGCCTTATTCACAGGTGTCAAGTTGAGTATGCTTATAAACGTTTGCAGGACTGTGACCCACACTAGGTGTTTACATGCATTCTCTGAAATCCAGGAAACATCAGTAGGAACACATACTGCTCAGGAAGCTAGTTTTTCAGTGAACAGCTTTCAGAAGACTCATTTTAGCTAAGAAATATGATTGACTCTTGCAAATAGATTGCTTATCATGGTTCTGGCTTCATTACCAAAGCTGATATTGGAAGGCAACTAGTTACTTACATACACACACGTGATGTTCCAAAAAAGCAAATATGCATAAAAAAAAAATCTAAAATGCAAGCCTTTTCTATTCAAGTTTAGCACTACTAATAAGGAAAAAAAGAGTGCTCAGGAGCACAACTAAAACATGGATAATTCAGTCTTGTTTATGTATTTCAAAATCAGTACCCAAAACAAACTGTGGCAATGTCTGCCACCTGGGCTTTTTTTGTTTATTTGCTTTGTTTTGTTGGGGCCCGGAGGTTCTCCTTCAGTTCAAACTATAGTTTTAATTTCACTTTCAACCATGGAAGACTAAATTTCTGCCGTCTACGTACAAACATACAGAGATGAGGACCTGAGTCTCCAAAATTATTAGTGAGGACCTGATTTATCGCCACTGCTTTTTCTTGCTGAACTCCCACAATTGCCTAGTACTTTACTCAAGTACTGAAAGTCTTTTACTGGAACTTCCTCATTATTTCCCATTCCATGGGGGGCAGGGGAGGAGGTGGTGTTCAGGCTCTTCTTGCTGCAGTTAACCTGTGACAATCATTAAGAGGAAAACCAGTTCACAGAACTGCCACTTTGCTGCTGCTCTACATCATAACTGCTGAACAGAGGGCAGCAATGCAGCCTACGGTGCCAGCCCACATTAAGAGACCTGTGGCTACCCCTACATAAGAACCTAGCCTACAGACTTGTTAAACAAAAGCAGATAAAAAGAGTGCTCCAACTTTCTCTTACAGCTGTATTGCAAATATCATGAATAGTTACATTAAACATGAAAAATTGTAGAGTACTTGTGGAAAACTGTAGTGTATACTTGTAGACTCAACCACTGACCATGATCCAACTCTCACAAAATCAAAGTTATTTCCTCAAGTATTAAAGTATTAGTCTTAATAACAGATGATGAAGACACCTCTTCAACTCTGCTTTATTTTAATCTTTTGAACTCAAAACAATTTTGACAATCCTGGTTTAAGAAAAACAAATGTAAATGGCATTGCAAAAATAAAGATGCAATGAAATTAATAGGAAGCCTCTTAATGTTTTTTGTCAACTCAAACATAAAAGTCAGGATTGAAAATATATATAGCAAGAATAATATCAATATTGGAAGGGTCCAAGTTGAAGGCTGATACGTATTTGTGGGCAGAACAAAATGGATGCCTACTGGTTTGTTTCAGCAAACACCTGTGGACACCTTTAGCTAAAATTAAGAGAGGAGTCAAGTTAAAGATAACATCAGAAGGGTTATTTTTTTAACCCATCATTGTTACAAGTAACATAAAGATTAATATCTTTAAAGGAGAAAAAAAGTGTTTCTCAATTTGGTCACCTGGTGAAAATAATTACCTGCAATTTAGGTACGGCCAATTTGTTTTACTTACATAATCAGTGAGGACATGGAGGTGGGATTTTCAAAGGCACCCAAGTGATACAGCAGCACAAGTCCTACTGACTTCGTTACTTTCAACAGAGCTAAGATCCTTCAAGCTGTGGTCCACACAAGGCACTCATGAAAGCAGTGCCTGCATGACTACAGTTGTCCCTGTGCCCAGGACCTTGTCTAGGCTAGAATAAAAGTAGCAACCTTAGCATACAATAGCTTTCAGGTGCTAATCTCTGAAAGGCCCAGCATGGACAAAGAACATTGCTTTAAATGGATGCCAAACTCCACTCCTCCAAAAATTCCTGCCCAGGCACATGCATCAAAGGGCTGGGTGACCCTCATACATATGCCATGATCCAGGATGATCGGCTGCTGCCACAAACTGGGCAGAGAAAAGATGAGAAGGAGCCTCAACTTTAACTCAGCGGTCCTCAAACTTAAGGCTAACCAGGGGTCCTTGAGTCTAAGACAGCCCTCCAAAAACTCCTGCTCTTAGCTTTTGCTTGATTTTTTGAGCACAGAAAAATAACCGGGCCCCATTTCCACTGCAGAGAACCCAGCAGGACTGCAACAGGGCCTGAGGCCTTCAGTGCTACAGCTTCCTATTTGAAACCCCAGAGTTTACCTTGCCACTTGTCTTCGTGCCCCCGGCAGAGCGAATACCGTGCCACACCCCAGAAAGGAGCTCGGGGCACCCCAGGGCCTGGTCACAAGTCCCAGCCACACCTCTGACTAGCCTGGGCCTGGTCGGGCTAGGATTCACAGAGGGCAACTGGGCAGGGGGCACAAAGCTGGCATCAGGGGCGCTGCTTCAGATGCACCCCAGGGAGGGCACCTGGCTGTCCCACAGGGCTGCAGCACGTGCCTTTCCCCCAAGCCACAGCGCCCCACCCCTGCAATGCAGTGCAGTCCCCCGCCCCCGCAGCAAGCCCGGGGGGAGCATGCACCTGAGCCGTGCAGAAAGATCACGGAGGCCGTGTGCCGGCCCGCGGGGGACGCCACACTCCGCCACAGCGAGCCGCACGCCGCCATGCCCACCCCGCGCCCGCCTCCTCTCCTCTCCTCTCCTGCCCTGTCCCGCGTGCCCCTGCGCGCCGAGGGGCTACAGGCGGCCCAGCCTGCGCTCCGCCCTGCGGCGCATGCGCCAGAGCCACAAGAAGCCGCCCGCTTCCTCTTCCTGTTCCACGTCCCGCAGCGCTGGAGGCGTGTGTTTCCGCAGCCTCTGCCCGCAGCTGGCGCGGTCTTGTCAGGCAGCAGGGTTATCCGCCCGAAACTCTTGACTTCCCCTCTCTGCTTAACGAGCACCTGGCCCTCGCCCCCTCCAAGTTGTCCCTCAGCATTGTTTTCCCTCTCCAAAAAAACAATGCAGAACTTCAGGCAGGACAAGGCACGTGGGTTTTGTAAACTGCATTGCATTGCATTTGGGAAATTATGGTCCCGGGTTTCCTTTGGGAACGCAAGTCGTAATAGACAGCCAAGAGCTTGTGTACCCCCCGCTTGTTAGCTTGCATTCGTTTTGGGCTAGCTTGAGTCCTTGAGCTGAATAGCAAATAATTGGGGTGTTCTTCTCTTCCCCACCACAGCCTCCGCCCATAGTAAATAAATAGTAATCAATAATATCTAAATAATTAAAAAATAGATAATAAAGAATAAAATAAAGAATATATAATGTATCAATACTAAGAAGAGAACACAATAAAATAAATAGTGAAATAAATCATAAAACACCAGCAGTTTTCCAAACTGTGGGTTGCAGCATCAGCGTGTAGGGGGCTGTGGGTTGGGCAGGAAGGGTCGTGCTGAGGAGATGGGGCCGTAAATGGGGTCAGGCAGAGGAAAAGTTTGGGAAGTGCTGTACTAGGCCATGGAAACCAATAAAGGCTCCCAATTTAGGTCAGGGAGGAGACAGGAAAGGAAGATGGCTGCGTGGCTTCAAGTGACACATACTGTCATGAGCATCGTGGCTCCATCTGTTTTCTTCAGTCCCTTTGAATCCTCTCGTTATGTTTTCACATGTGCTGTATTCGGTGTCCCCCCAGCACGCTTGTTTTCAACCTGTGACCTTCAATCCCATCACTGTTTTATTTTCTTGTTGCCCCAAGCAATCCGTGATATCCCCCTCATCGCCAGCTTATACCTCTACTTGGTGGACTTTCGCCCATGTCACAGAATGGCATATCAAAAGGCTTCTCTTCATGTTTCCACAGTCACCTCATGATGTTCTGGCACGTTTACATGGCATGGGAAGCCCTTCCAGGATGAGATACTCAGAGCAACACATCCATGCATCCCCTTTATTCCTTTCTGTAATATCTCCTTGTTCACTTTCACCAGGCTGGGGACTCAGCTATGTCATGTTGTCAGCCTTGGAGGCATAAACCTCCCTATGTATTAAATGCAAATTATTATTGTTGCTTTTATTACTGGTTGTTATCCCATCTAAGTTCCTTGTGTGTTAAGGTCAGAATTTAGTTTATAAATAATCTTGTATTTGTTACCAGAACAAACCAAAGGCTTAGTACTTTTGCTGTTTGTTATGGGCTGAAACACTCTCACTGCTGTTTCCATTACTCTGGCATTGTAATCTATTTATAGAATAATCTGTAGGTCTGTAGTTCCTATATTTAGAAGCACCATATGGTAGGGAAACTATGGAGCAAGTAATAAAGGAGAATTGTCCCATTCATTTAGCTACACATTTGGAAATGTAGTTAAGTTTCAGTGTGACCAGGTGCGGCTTTTTTTTTCAGGATAAAGGCCCAGTTGGCAATAGAACTGAGGGGAGTAAATGGTAGAGACTTTGATGAAGAGTCCTTCAGGGTATCACACAAAATGAGGGAACCAGATGGGTGAAAGATATTGAAACTCCAGTACACACTTGACGAGCTTGCCCATCTTTGACTATTCTCAGTGTAATTGGTTTTTTGGTTTTGGGGGGTTTATTTGATGTTTTGGTGGCTCCTACCATTTTGCAGGTCCTGGAACCTAGGGAGAAAATGCACAAGGTTTCTCATGCATATATGCTTTCATAAAAGCTGTAAGACTATTGTTGATGCATAGATTAACTACCTGCCATGGCAGCTTGAGGTCCACAGAATTTGAATAAGGAGGACCAAATGTAAACCCCATCACTACCATTTAAATATGATCCAGGGAGTGAATAGCAAGTTTATGGATTAGTTTTGCAATTCAACTTAAACTGTTTGGCAAGCTATAGGGGCACACCTGTTAGTCTTTAGATATGCAATGAAACATTAGCTTCTTGAGGTAGCATGTTATTACCTTAAGAATAGCCCTGGGTTAGGTAGCTGAAACATGAAGAGCATGTTAGGCTTGTATTTCAGCTTGAATTCAAATCTTAGGGCATCAAGTGTAACTTACAGTGATGCACAAACATGGTATGGATGCCTAACTAAGGATTCCTCTCAATGTTATACTTCAAGAAATTCAGAATTATTTTTCACAGTATGTTCCAACTACCTCATAAAGAAGATTAAAAAAATCTGAATTTAATGAAAATCAAGTGAATTGTACTTTACTGAGAGAAAGAATAGTTCAGCCATTTTCCAACTTTATAAGATTACAATTTCCAGTGCAAAAATATAGAACACTGGTAAAATAGTTTCCCCTATGAAGAGAAGACAAACACTTATTGCTAACAGTCATCTTTTTCCAACAGTTATCTGGGATACAAGTTTTTTTCTATTTTAAATATAGAGAAATACCTGACAACTTAATATCATTGCCAAATGGTGACTTTTAAATGGCTCTATTAGGTCAGCTGCCTCCCATGGGCTTGCATCCAAGATGTAGCAGAGAGGATCCCCAGGCTTGTCTGGCCCTCTGACTACTACCCCATGCTCCTCATCCATGTGGGGATGAATGACACGGCCAGAAGTAATCCAGACCAGATTATGAGCCATTTCAGGGCTCTGGGGAATGGGCTCAAGGGACTGGGAGCCCAGGTAGTCTTTTCTTCTGTGCTCCCTGCTGCAGGCCGCGGTCCCAGAAGGGAAGGATGCATCGAGGAAGTTAACTGGCAACTCCAACACTGGTGCCATCAAGAAGGCTTCAGATTTCTTGACCACGGTGTGCACTTTAGGGAGAAAAGACTCCTGGGAAGGGACAGCATTCACCTCATGAGGAAAGGTAAGTCCCTGTTTGCAGCCAGGATGGCTGATCTTTTGGACAGGGCTTTATACTAAGATTGCTGGGGGATGGGGATACACAAATTCCAAAACGTCCAGGGACCAACATACAACTAAGCCCAGTAGATAGGGACACTGAGAGAGTCACTCTTGCGGGAGCTGAGGGAATAGTTCTCATCAGCAGGACAGGAAGATGGTCTCAGTAGGAGGACTCAGGTGCCTATATATTAACACCAGGAGCATGGGGAACTCTCCAGCATGCATTATGATTTAGTAGAGACCTGGTGGGCTCCTCACATGACTGGAGTATAGCTATAGAGGACTACACCCTGCCTAGAAGGGACCAGGTGGGGAAAAAAGGTGGAGGTGTTGCTCTCTATGTGAAAGAGCAGTACACCTCCTTGGAGGCCAACATCAGCTCAAAAAATAGACAGCTTGAAACCCTGTGGGTCAAGTTGCAGGGGTGGGGGTTGGAGGGAAGGGCACGGTGAGAGAGACCTACCTGTAGGTATATACAACAGACCACCAAACCAGGGGGAGGAACTAAATCTGGAGTTCACCTGAGAATTGACTGAGGCCGCACATGCATGTGACATGGTTGTCATGGGCAATTGTAATTATCCAGACATCTCCTGGGAGGAACACTCAGCCAAGTTGGAACGGTTGCAATCCTTCCTGACCCGTGTTGAGGAGCTCTTCCTGACTCAGGAGGTGAGTGGGCCAACCAGAGGTGACGCTCTGCTAGACTTGGTCCTGGCAAAAGGAGATGACCTGGTGACTGACTTAAATATAGAGGGAAGTCTGGGTGACAGCAATCATGAAGCCATCTTATTCACTGTCCAATGTAAGGCAGACAAATTGGATAGCAGGATTGAAGTCTTGGACTTCAAAAATGCAAATTTAAACAAGCTTAGGTCCCTAGTAGGGGAAGTTCTGCGGGACCAGGGACCGAAGGTGAAGGGTGTGTATGAAGAGTGGTTGTTCCTTAAGGACACGATCCTTGAAGCACAAAGAAAGTTCATTCCCATGCAGAGAAAAGGTAACAGAAGGGCTGGGAAACCCTCTTGGCTAAACAGGGAAATCACGGTCCTCTTAAAAAAGGAGAAAGAGGCTTATAAACAATGAAAGCTCAGGGTGGGCCCAAGGAGGACTATTCCACAATGGCCCGCATTTGCAGAGAACAGATAAGAGATAAGACAGGCTAAAGTAGCAACCAAACTTAGATTAGTAACGGGAATCAAGAACAAGAAGTCCTTCTTTAGATACATAGGGAATAAGAGGAAAACAAATGGGAGTGTGGGGCCATTGCTCAACAACTCAGGAGAGCTAGTTACTGGCACCCAGAAGAAAGCTGAACTCCTGAATGACTGCTTCGCCTTGGTCTTTCACCAGACCAAGGGGAAAACCTCGCCAGGTAGAGTACAGGGTGAGCAATAATCACCATCCTACTATTGCCATAGAATTGGTGCATGACCAATTAATAAAATTAGACATATACAAGTCAGCCGGACCAGATGACCTTCATCTGAGAGTGCTGAAGGAGCTGGCCAAAGTAATTGCAGAACCCCTGACAGAACTCTTCCACAACTCATGGCACTCTGGAGAAGTCCCTGAGGACTGAAAGAGGGCCAATGTTGTGCCTATCCACAAGAAGGGCAGGAGGGAGGACCCAGGTAACTATAAGCCAATCAGCCTAACTTCCATCCTAGGGAAAATCTTAGAAAAGTTCATCAAGGAATCTATTCTGAATGACGGTCAGCATGGCTTTGTGGTGGGCAGCTCTTGCCTTACCGAACTCATCTCCTTTTATGACCAGGTAACTTGCCACCTGGACACATGAGAGCAGGTTGACATTGAATGAGAATATTGGAAGATTGTGGGCTTAACTCCAAGACAGTCAGATGGGTGA